AGGGGGGCTGAGGCAGGAGGATCACCTGAGCCCAGGAAGTCAAGGCTGCAGTCAAACATGATTGTGCCATTGCACTGCAGCCTGGGTGACAGAGCAGGACCCTGTCTCAAAAAAAAAAAAAAAAAGAAAAGAAAAGAAAAGAGAGACTTAAAATAGATCAATGAAACAAAGAGTAGTTTTTTTGAAAAGATAAAATTGAGATGCCTTTAGCTGACCTAAGAAAAAACAGAGAAGACTCAAATAAAATCAGATTTAAAAAAAGAGAGATACTACAATTGATGCCACAGAAATAAAAAGCATCACAAGATAGTATCAGGAACAATTCAATGCCAGAAAACCCAGATAACCTATAAAAAATGGACAAATTCCTGGTCATATACAACTTTCAAAGATAATAAAATACCTAGGAATCCAACTTACAAGGGATGTAAAGGACAACAACCCCATCAGAAAGTGGGCAAAGGATATGAAGAGACATTTCTCAAAAGACATTTATGCAGCCAACACACACATGAAGAAATGCTCATCATCACTGGTCATCAGAGAAATGCAAATCAAAACCACAATGAGATACCATCTCACACCAGTTAGAATGGCGATCATTAAAAAGTCAGGAAACAACAGGTGCTGGAGAGGATGTGGAGAAATAGGAACACTTTTACACTGTCAGTGGGACTGTAAACTACTTCAACCATTGTGGAAGACAGTGTGGTGATTCCTCAAGGATCTAGAACTAGAAATACCATTGGATCCAGCCATCCCATTACTGGGCATATACCCAAATGATTATAAATCGTGCTGCTATAAAGACACATGCACACGTATGTTTATTGCAGCACTGTTCACAATAGCAAAGACTTGGAACCAACCCAAATGTCCATCAATGATTGACTGGATTAAGAAAATGTGGCACATACACACCATGGAATACTATGCAGCCATAAAAAAGGATCAGTTTGTGTCCTTTGTAGGGACATGGATGAAACTGGAAACCATCATTCTGAGCAAACTATTGCAAGGACAATAAACCAAACACCGCATGTTGTCACTCATAGGTGGGAATTGAACAATGAGAACACTTGGACACAGGAAGGGGAACATCACACACTGGAGCCTGTCATGGGGTGGGGGGAGGGGGGAGGGATAGCATTAGGAGATATACCTAATGCAATTGATGAGTTAATGGGTGCAGCACACCAACACGGCACCTGTATACATATGTAACAAACCTGCACGTTGTGCACACGTACCCTAGAACTTAACGTATAATAAAAAAAAAAGAAAAAATAACTTTTCTACAGAAAAAAAAGAAGAAATAGAAAATCTGAACAGACCAATAGTGAGTAATGAAATCGAAACAGTAATAAAAAATCTCCCATCAAAGAAAAGCCCAGGACTCGATGGCTTCACTGCTGAATTCTATCAAACATTTAAAGAACGAATACCAATTTTCCTCAAACTAGTTGACGCAATTGAAGAGGAGACAATATTTCTAAACTCATTTTATAAGGACAGCATTACCCTGATAGCAAAGCCTGGCAAGGACACAATTGAAAAAGAATATCCCTGATGAACACAAATGCAAAAATCATCACAAAATACTATCAAACAGAATTCAACAGCACATTAAAAAGATTATTCACTATGATCAAGTGGAACTCATCCCAGGGATGCAAGAATGGCTCAACATATGCCAATCAATAAATGTGACACAGAACACTAAATGGAATGAAGGACAAAAACCATGTGATCATTTCAATAGATGAAGAAAAGGCATTTGACAAAATTCAATATCCCTTCATGATAAAAACAACATATTATGTATAGAAAGTATGTACCTCACTACAAATAAAAGTCATATATGACAAACCCACAGCTAACACCATATTGAACAGGGAAAAGTTGGAAGCTTTTCCTTAAGATCAGGAACAAGACAACAATTCCTGCTTTTACCACTTCTGTTCTACTTAGTATTTGAATTCCTAGCCACAGCAATTAGGTAAGAAAAAGAAATGAAAGTTAGCCAAATTGGAAAGGCAGTTAAACTATCCCTGGTTGCAGATGACATGAGTGTATACAGTTGACCCTCAAACAATACCAGTGTTAGAATTGTCAGACCCTTGCACACTGGAAAATCAATGTATAAGTTCTCACTTACCAATAAACATAACTACTGGTAGCCCACTGTTGACCAGAAGCCTGATCAATAACATAAATCATTGATTAACACCTATTTTGTATGTTATATGTATTATATAGTGTATTCTTATAAGTTAAGCTAAAGAAAAAAATATTATTAAGAAAATCATAAGAAAGAGAAAATACATCTACTATTAATTAAGTGAATGTAGATCATCACAAACATCTACATCTTTGTCATCTTTGTGTTGAGTAGGCAGAGGAAGAGGAAAAAGAAGGATTGTCGTGCTGACTCAGTGGTTGCAGAGGTGGAAGAAAATCCACATATAAATGGACTCACATATTTCAAATCCGTGTTGTTTAAGGGTTCACCGTATACAGAAAACCCAAAAGACTCCACCAAAAAACTGCTAGAGCTAATAAACAAATTCAGTAAAGTTGCAAGATACAAAAATCAGCAGTATTTTTATACATCAATAGTAAACTATCTGAAAAAGAAATCATGAAAACAATCCCACTTACAATAGTTACAAAAAACATATACCTAGGAATAAGTTTAACAGAGGAGGTGAAAGATCTTCACACTGAAAACTATAAAACATTGATGGAGAAAATTGAAGAGGACACAAATAAACAGAAGGATATCCCATCTTCATGGAGTGGCAGAATTAATATTGTTAAAGTGTCTACACTATCCAAAGTGATCTACAGATTCAATGTAATCTCTAATGAGAATATCAATGGCATTCTTCACAGAAATAGAAAAAAGAATCCTAAAATTCGTATGGAACCACAAAAGATCCCAAATAGCTGATGCAAACTTGGGGGGGGGAAGAAAGAAAGAAAGCTGAAGATATCACACTATCTGATTTCAAAATGTGTTACAAAGCTATAGTAAGCAAAATAGCATGGTACTGATCTAAAAATAGACACATAGACCAAAGGAATAGATACCCTAGAAAAACAAATGCATACACAGGCAAAGGTGTGAAGAACAAACATTGGGGAAAGTACAGTCTTCAGTAAATGGTGCTGAAAAAAAAAATGGATACCCATATGCAGAAGAAAGGAACTAGGTACATATCTCTCATCACATACAAATATCAACTCAAAATGGATTAAAAACTTAAATGAAAGACTGAAAGCTATGAAACTACTAGAAGAAAACATAGGGAAAACACTTCATAATATTGGACTAGGCAACGATTTTTTGGCTATGACTCTAAAAGCACAGGTAACAAAAGCAAAAGTAGACAAATGGGATTACATCAAACTAAAAAGCTTCTGCTGCACAGTAAAGGAAACAATCAACAAAGTGAAGAGACAACCCACAGAATGGAAGAAAATAATTGCAAACTATCCTTCTAAAAAGGATTAATAACCAGAATATATAAGAAACTCAACTAAATAGCAAAGCAAACAATCTGATTTTAGAATGGGCAAAAGATCTGAATAGACACTTTTCAAAAGAAGACATACAAATGGCCAATAGGTATATGAAAAAAATGCAACATCACCAATCATTATGAAAATGCAAATCAAAACCACAATGAGATATCATTTCGCCAAGTTTGAATGGCTATTCACAAAAAGACAAAACATATCAAGCGCTGACAAAGATGTGGAAAAAAGGGAATGCTCACATACTATCAGTGGAAATGTAAATCATACATTCATTATGAAAAACATTATGGACTTCCTAAAAATATAAAAATAGAACTGCCCTATGATCTATCTGGCAATCCCACTACTGGGTATATATCCAAAGAAAATGAAGTCATTGTGTCGAAGAGGTATGTGCACTCCCATGTTTATTGCAGCACTATTCACAATAGCCAAGATATGAAATCAACCTAAATGTTCATAAACGGATGGATTGAGAAGGAGAATGTGATATATACACACGAGGAAATATTATTTTAGCAATATAAAAGAAAGAAAAGCTGTCATTCACAGCAACACAGATGAGCTTGGAGAAATTATGTTAAATGAAATAAGCCGGGCACACAAAGGCAAATACAGCATAATCACTCTATATCCCATATGTAGTACAATTATTGTGTCAATTAAAATTTAAAATATAATAATAGCAAAAAAAAAAAAATACAATGAGCACTCAACTGGAAACAGAAGAGAACATCCGAAACATGAAAAAGGAAATTTGTGAAAAACCTACAGCTAACATCAATACTCAATAGTGAAAGACTGAAAGCTTTCCCCCTAAAAAAAATCAGGAACAGGACACAGGTGCCTCTTTTCACTACTTTTACCCAACACTGTACTGGAAGTTCTAGCCAGAGCAATTAGGCAAGGAAATAAAAGACATCCAAATTGCAACTGAATAAATAAAACTCTCTATTCAGAGATGACATGATGTTACATTTACAAAATCCTAAAGAATCCACAAAATGAGCTACTAGAGCTAATAAATATATTAAAGTCTGCTTTGCACTCTTTGTGAGTGCTTCAGCCTGCAGAAGCTTTGGAAAAATATAACAAACATTACCAGCACTCTCCTGGTTTCCTTTATTTTTCTTTTCTTTATTGGGTAAGGGACAGAAAAGTAGAAGATACAGAGGAAGAGTAAATGAATCAAACAAATGTTATCTTGACTGGCTGTATTCCTACAAATCAACTACAATTTCTTATCTATTTCCCTAAGCAGGTAACAGCAAAGCCCTGAAAACCAAAAGGAATTGGGCTCTTGTTTTCAGAAGCAGCAAGGTATGGGTGATATGAGGACAGAGTATCCTACTCCATAGCCAGGCTTGTACAGATGGTGGCAGCTATCTAAGGAGAAGCAAGGAAGCTGAGACCCTGGGACCTGCTATAAGAAAGGAGGGAAAAACTTAAGAACTTACTTAATGTTGTAGGGCACAGTACTAGGATTGAGTACCCCATACATAGTGAAGCCTTTATAGAGAGGGTTCCTGAAGTCTGGTTTCCTCTGAACCAAGAAAGGCCACACAGAATGTGTTTTCTCATAGACTCTGTTAGAAAAGAAAAACAAGCCAAAAAATTAAAAGCAGTAAGCAAGTAATCTCAATAGTCCTGTTGAACTGATAAGCAGCAAATTTTACTAACAACTAACCCAACTCAAGAAAGGAGGACAGGATATGACAGAAGAAAAATAAGTAGATAAAAAGTGTTGATGGAGTAACAAATTATCTGGGCTTCAATTTATCCATCTTTAAAATAAATGAGAGGCTAGAAAGAGTTCCATATTGGAGAACAGGAGATTCTAAGTCCAGTCTCTGTGTGGAACAGCTGTGTGATCTTAAGAAAATCCCGAGTTTTTTCTGGGCCTATTTCCTCACTGTTAAATGTGACCTCTAAGTTATCTTCCAAATCAAGGATTTTATGAACTAATGACTTTTCTGGTTTTAAAAATTCTGGAATTGCTTTTAAAAGTCTGGTAAGTTAAGAGATAGGTTCTACGGGGTGAATTTGTGGCTCTTCTATTTTTCATTTTACTTAAAGCCAGCTTCTCCTCCTTTCAGAAGGTTTAACATAGTGAAAGACAATTGGAAATTTATACTAGAAAATGTTCATGAGCTATCCCAGGTGGGCAACTAAAGACTATGGCATTTATATTACAGAACTGATTCTTATACTTTAGTTGAGACCATGGGGAGCCTGCTTAACCAGTAAGCAAGTCCCTTAGTTAACACCTCAAAATACATGAGATCCACTGGTTCCCAAAGAGAGCTGCTGTATAACCATTCATGAGAAGGTCATTTGCACACACACCATGTCAAAGGAAGCTAAAGGAGAAATGAAGAGTGATATAAGCAGTAAGACCTAAAATTGTGGTCTTGTAACTTTTACAATTGTCAGAGCATTCCAGTGAGGCCAAAGGCTCTGTATATCCATCTTTCTCATTTGCTGTTGGTTTATAACAGAAAAAAAAATTCCGTTGGTAAAGTAACTAATTTGTTGAGTATTTACTATGTGTTCAAACACTGTTCCAAACTCTTTACCTAAAATACCTCCTTAAATTTTCCCAATAAAACCTTTTGAGATATTTTAGCCCAAAATTACCGAGAAAATGATACTAAATATTATTTTGCTCAAGGTCACATAGTTAGTAGGTAACAGAGCCAAAGTTTGAACCCAAGTCTGCCTGATTCTAAAGCCCGTGCTTTTCCGTTCATGAATGAATGACATTTCTGCTTATTTTAAGTAATCACTATTTTAAAATATGTTAAAATGTTCAACTGTTATGTTTTTTAAATGGATATCCAGATTTGTGTGAAAAATACTACATATATTGACTTGATTTTAAGAGAAGGAAAAAGATTATGGAAAAGAGTCTCGGTTTTAATGCATAGGTAAACAAAGACAGAATGAATATCTTAAAAGAATTTGGGGAGAAAGTGACAAAGGTCTAGTTGTAAAGAGAGAGAGAGAGAGAAACATACATGGCATCAAGAGAGACACTACCAAATAAATACAAATGTTGAAACAGAAAGACTTATTATTGTTCTCTATGTTGACAGGAAAACCAAATCACAGAGAAGTAATGTCATCCTGGCTATGCTATAAAGGGCCCTGTGGGTTGGGCTAACTACTAACTCAGCCAACAGCTGTGAAATAGGAGTGAGTTGTGAAACAGCTACTTTTCTATTTCTTTTTCTCTGTCTCTAAAATAACAAAGATACTGTTCATAGGAGCTCTACCTTGTCAATTTCAAAAAGTACTTATGTCTCATATATTGCCAAGATGTTAGTTTAAGAGAGGGGTGCAAACTCAATTGCCTGCTAGAACTAGGCAGATAACATTAGAAATGGGCTAAGAATAAACTATAGAGAATGGTAAGAACTGCAGTCAACAAGAGTGAGTTTGCCTCATCCAAATGGAACAGCTACTATTCACCTCTAGCTTATTATTATCATGAGAAAACACAGTCTAGTGTTGCCAAAGCTCCTGATTTTTCAGAATATTTATAAAAAACATTCTAAAATAACTGGATTTTTATGTGAAATCTACTGATATTTAAATGTTAGCAACTAGGCATAAGAATGACACAATGGACTTTGGGAACTCGGGGGAAAGGGTAGGAAGCGGGTGAGGGATAAAAGACTACAAATTGGATTCAGTGTATACTGCTCAGGAGATGGGTGAACTAAAGTCTCACAAATTACCACTAAAGAACTTATTCATGTAACCAAATACCACCTGTTCCCCAAACACGTACGGAAATAAACAAAAATGTTGGCAACTAATTAGGAGTTTAAAAAAATACTCCACAGACTAAACAAATCATGCCTGTTGGGTTGGGTTCAGCCTACGAGCTGCTAGTTTGTGATCTCTGATATGAGTGAGAAAGGACTGTAGATAATGACTACTTGTACCTGCACAGCAATTAATTATTTGCAAAGGCCTTGTACATCCATTATTTTATTGGATCCTCATGATTGCTCTAAAAAGTAGGCATTATTATCCCTATTTTACAGATGAGAAATCTCAGGGTTCTGAGAGATCTCTGTGCAAACATTGAATGCTTTATGCTTCAAAAGTTCTTTTTATTATTGTTATCTCCTCCCCTTTCTTGACTGCTATGTCAAATTCAGGGTGGTAGGTACATTCTTTTGGCACTGACCCCTTCTCCCTGTTCAGTGTCTTCTCACAAAGTAAATTCACCTTAGATCTTCCCGATCCTTCTGGCAGTTACCAAGGAAGTTTCCAAACTGGCAGGAGAAAACATGGTCATGAATCTCTAGCAGGAAGTTTTCATTAAACTCAAAGGCACAGGGAAACTGTTCCATTAATTGCCAGATACAGTCTAGGAACTGGGTGAAGATAGGGGACACTTCTTTAGAGTCCCCATCGAGGTGGCCACACCTGAGAGATGCAAATAAAGGTAAAGGAAGACACAAGTTAGCATTAAGGATTACACTGTTGGGAATAGGCTGTAGGAGGGTCATCTTTTGTCTCTGTTGGCAGCAGCAAGGAAACACCTCATACCAAAATGCCAGCCAGAATTTCAAAGCTAGTTAATCCCAGCAGACCTCTTAGCTGCTGGTGTCCTTCACTGTCATCCATACTCTAAACCCTTTGGTCATCTAGTCTATTTTTTTATACACCCTCTTTCCAATAGAACTTTCTGCAATGATGGAAAATTTATACAGTTGTGTTGTCCAATATAGCAGCCACTAACTGTTAAGCACTTGAAATGTGGATACTGTGACTGAGGAACTGAATTTTTAATTGTATTTAATTTTAATTAATTTAATTTAAATAGCTACATTTAGCTCTATGTGACCAATGACCACATCTATATTGTTTACTGCATAGTGCCTGGCACAAAATTAGTATTTAAGAAACATTTATTAAAGTACATGAATGAAACCTCATCCCAGAACTGTTTAATGTTTCCTCCCATCTTCTGGTGAGTTCTACTTCCTGAATACCCTTGTATCTATCCCATTGCTTCTGTCTTTTTTCAGGCCCTCATCAATTCTGGTAGCCTACTAATTCAGCCCCTTGCCACCAATTTCAATCTTCTGCATGCTGTCAGAGGGATATTTGTAAAATATAGATCTAAACATCATGTCACTGCCTTGTCCAAAGTCCTCCAATATAGCTTTACTATGTACACAAAACACTCAAGTGTTTTAGCGTTTTTTTTTTTAAACAACAAAAAAATATATAGATCTAAACATCATGTCACTGCCTTGTCCAAAGTCCTCCAATATAGCTTTACTATGTACACAAAACACTCAAGTGTTTTAGCGTTTTTTTTTTTTTTTTAAACAAAAAAAAACAGGGCTCTGAATGATCTTCTCCTCTGGCTCCGCTTCCCTGGCCTCATTTCCTCTATTCTCCCTACACACCCTTTGACCCAGTCACACTGAATTGCTTGCAGCTCCTCAAACACATAATCCTGTTTAATGCCTTTATGGTTTAAAACACATCAGTAGCTAGAATGCTTTCTCCCTTTCTAAAAAACATCTACTCATACTTTAAATCTCAGTTAAAATGTCAGCTATTACAGGAAGCCTTCTTTGCCCCAGAACGGGTAAACTTCCTTAGTTTATGTTTTCCTCTGTCTTAAGCACTTACCATACTACACTGTCATCACTGATTTTTCTTTTCTTTCACAGAAGAGATAGGGACTATATCTGATTCAACTCCGTCTTCTCAATACCTAACATAATGACTGGTCCAAAGTTTGTGGGTGAAGGAAGAATAAATACATGGACCCAGATGGCTAGAGAGTGGCAACCAAATGAAATTAAATGAACACATATCAATGGGGGAAAATAAGACCTGAATTATAATCTCCTTGGGGTAAAACTCAAATTTTTTTTTTTTTTTTTTTTTTTTTTTTAGACAGAGTTTTGCTCTTGTCACCCAGGCTGGAGTGCAATGGTGTGGCCTTGGCTCACTGCAACCTCCACCTCCCAGGTTCAAGCGGTTCTCCTACCTCGGCCTCCCAAGGAGTCGGGATACAGGCACTCGCCACCATGTCTGGCTAAATTTTTGTTTTTTTTAGTAGAGAAGGGGTTTCACCATGTTGGCCAGGCTGGTCTCAAACTCCTGACCTCAGGCGATTCACCCGCTTTGGCCTCCCAAAGTGCTAGGATTACAGGCATGAGCCACTGCGCCCAGTCAAATCTCAAATTTTATTTGCCTTTGGAATCAGCTTAGTGTCTGATATAATATACAGCACATTGTTAGGCATTTGACAAATATTTATCGATTGTTCTGATAACACAGATAAAGCCTTAGTGAAGCAGTTTGGTTTATGGCAGACAACAGATAAATATAAGCCCTTATCCTCACCCCTTAAAAAAGAACAAATCTGCACCTTTTATCTTTCAAAAGATAAAAGGTGCACCTTTTAAGGTGCATTATCTTGATATTAGTCCCTCTGAATGACCTCCTCATTCCCTTGTTCTTCCTATTAAATTTCTTCTCATTTCCAAAAATTCATCCTTAAATGCTGTGTACTCCTGGAAGCCTACCCTGACCTCTTCGTGCAATGTTAAGCACTTTTCCTTCTGTAGCCTGTGATGCCTTTTTCTTCCTTGAAATATTTAACAATTTGATATAATTACTTGTACTCCTTAAAAACAGGGATAATATTCTGGTTACTTTTGTCACCTTAGTGCCCTAGGATAGTATCTAGAATACTTGTTTCTTGATGAAAAGAGATTTATGCAATGTTCAACTTCCTCTTCCTTCTTTTACATGTACATACTGAGGTTTTGACAAACTTCACCCTAATGAACTATCCTCAGCCTCTTCCTTCAAAATGAGTATATTTTTACCTTTGGGAAAACTTGTGGCCCATGGATATCCATTCCTTCTCTATCAAGATCTTCATTTTATACAAAAGAAAGAGTTTGCATTAGGAAAATCATAAAATGAATTAATTATACACACAAGAATGTCAAAACACTTTGCTGAAATGGTTGAACTGATCATAAAATAGTTAATTTCCTAAATGATAACTAAGTAAGTAACTTAGATTTCATTCACAGGCCTATACAGGGTGCCTTCAAATTTCAGATGCTCTCAGACATATCCAGAGTCAAATTTCCTTTGGCTTTCACATGATGTGTGACAAGCCACTGAGCCATAACTAATTGCAATCCTGACAAGCACGATATTAAACTCAAACTTTGAAAAACAGAAATCCAAAGGCAGCTCTTAGCTTTATACTAGTAACAAAACCATTTTTAACCATCAAAAAAAAATTTCCAGCCAGGCATGGTGGCTTACACCTGTAATCCCAGCATTCTGGGAGGCTGAGGAGGGCAGATCACATGAGGCCAGGAGTTTGAGACCAGCCTGGCCAATGTGACGAAACCCAGTCACTACTAAAAATACAAAAATTAGCCGAGCTTGGTGGTGCACATCTGAAATGCCAGCTACTTGGGAGGCTATGGCACAAGAATCACTTGAACCCAGGAGGCGGAGGTTGCAATGAGCCAATATTGCACCACTGCACTCCAGCCTGGGTGACAGAGCAAGACTCCATCTCAAAAAAAAAGAAAAAGAAAAAGCTTTCCAAAGAAATGAGAATAAACCACTATGGTGAGTTCTGTTTCTTAGAAAGATCAACTAAGAGGCCTTAGATTCAGCACTAGAAAACAATCATGAGTCTGACATTCAAACAGCTGACATGTTAAAGATGATGAGCCCCTTGGACAGCCTATTTAACAGTCATCCATTAAGTTTTGCAAACTTTTTGAGCTTTTCCTACTCTGTACAGTAGTCTATTACATATAACTTATGTTCTGATAGGTAAGAAGTATGTTGAACATACAAAAGAAAGTATACAGATAGTACACACCTAAATTTAATGAAAAGAAGCTAAATTGAAAAAGCTATTTTTGTAGACTTAGAGTTAATTCTGGCAAAAAAAAAAAAAAGTTGTTTGAGAGTTCTTTTTATTTTGTCGCAATCTGTCTCTTACACAAAGTAAAATACAGTAGCGTGCTCTCTTACCATGAGTCCTTTGAATGTCCTATAAAATGGATCTAGGAGGATGCTAGCCACCGAGCAGACTTGTGCTGTGCGGTCCCACCCATCAGAACAATGGACTAAGACACTGGCCTTTTCTACCTTCACTGCCTGTGAAGACAAGAGGCAAAAAAAAGTACCATAAGCAACCCTCGCATAGCTTGTTGGGTTAAAGAGTTGCCAAATACAGTCCCTAAAGCACAGAGAACCTGGTCTTATGGGCTACATTAATTTTTTCTCATAAAGTTAGCATCTTCTATGGGGAATGAAAAGGAAAACAATGGAGTGCAAGAGAGGGACAGCTTACCAAATAGGAAAAGAATATCAAAACTAACCCATAATGCAGGGCAAAAAGAAAAATGAGGGGATTTCTAAATTCACTAAGCTTCTGAAGAAACCAAGGATCAATTCTCAGAGGAATAGGTGAACTGGAGGAAGAATTCACACTCAAAAACACAGACAGCTCTGCATTCTAGTCCCAGATCTGACAACAATCTCCTCTAGCTGTTTTAGTCTTACTAACACAAATGCTTTCAACATAAGATGGAGGTGCTCGCCTGTCTTAGGTCACTTTAATAAGCGATTATATAAATATAATCAGAATGATGTAAAAATCTGGGCAGTTACTCAACCTGGGAAATTTTGGCAATGGTACATATTGACCATTCACTTATTCATTCTAACAATTTTGCGCCTCTATGTGCCAGGTATTAGAAATACAAAAATAAGACTCAGTTTCTGCTTTCAAGGAACCCACAAACTAGTCAGGGTGACCGAAGATAAATAAATAATTAAAATACAATGGAAAAACTACTGGTAATATACAGTAATGTATAGTAACAATATTCTTTTGCAGGAGCCAGGGAAGCTCGACCCTTGAAGAAAGAGTAGGATTTCCTTAGGTGAAGAAGGACATTAATTTACTCATTCATTCATTCATCCATACACCTAGCCAATAATTGAGTGACTGTACAAGAGGCACTATGATGTGCACTGGGAATACAAAAGAGACAAACACTTACATGCATGGCTGCAAACCAATGAAAAATAAAAGGTAAAAATCCATGCCAGGTATAACAAAGGCCCAAAAGATAACCAGGGAGGAGGAGACAACTAAGGTGGGTCTGGAAAGATGAATAGGAATTTATCAGATGGACCAGGAGGAAAGGACATTTCAGGCTGGAGAATGATGTAACAGAGTGTACACTGCAAGGAGGCATGACATAGAGGAAGAACACTTAATGGCTCAGGCTAAGCTGGAAGTGAGAGAACAAGGAGTGATAGAGCCGGCTAGGAGGACAAGGGTCAGACAAATCAGGTATACATTTTATCTGATGGCAATAGGGAGTTGATAGCAGAGGAGTGCCATGATCAGATGTACATCGTTGAAAGATCCCTGTGGTGGCAGTAAGGAGAATGGATTGAGAGGACATGAGTTTGGATATAGGAAGACCAGTTAGGGAGCTACTAAAATCGTGAAAGTCCATATAGGCCTGAGGTAAGGTAGTAGCAGTGGAGCTGAAAAACAGAAGAGGGATTTTAATTATGAACATTTTAACAGGACAGAGTGAGAGACTAGACATGGGATGAAAGAGAAGGAAAACTTAAAGATAACTCTGAAATGTGTGGTTTAGCAACCAGGTGGATGGTAGTGCCATTAGACTAAATAATGAACACAAAAGAAAGTTTTAGGTAGTAGTGGGGATATGTAAGATTTCTGTTTTGGCCATGGAGAGTTTGAGGTAGTTCAGGGACATCTAATGGAAAGTCCAGTGGGACAATTGGATATGTGGGTTTAAAGATCAGAAGAGGGAAAGATCTGAGCCAGAGTATAGATTTCACCACTATCTGAATAGAGACAGTAGTATACACTGTGTGAATAGTTGACGCTGTCCAGGCAGAGACCAAATGTGACAAAAGAAAAGACCTTAAAAAGCAGTGACCCTTAAAGGGCATGTAGAGGAAGGAGGATTATCATAAGAGTCAGCCTGTTCAAAAAAGCCCAAAAGGAAAAAAAAAAAAAAAAAAAAAAAAAAAGATCCAGGAGGGAGTAGTTGAATAAAAGTCAGGACTATAAAAAGGGTTCAAAGTGAAAAGGAGTGAACAGTGCCAAATGCAACAGAAAGGTCAAAATAGAGTGAAGACTAACAAGTGAGTCTTAGATACGACAAATCAAAGGTCATAAGACCGCTGGAAGAGCACTATATGAAAATTGGATCACAGTGGGCTGAAAGGTGAAGGGAGATGAAGTACTAATAGGAAAGACTAACTACTTTTCAGAAGGTTATAACCAAGAGGAAAGAGGGCAATAGCTAGAAGACTGAAAAAGTACTTTTTCTTTAGGAATGAGAAACCATTTGAGCATACTACTGAGGGAAGAAGCCAGTCGAAAATAATAGGTTGAAAATGTAAGACAAAGAGGGTTTAACCGATAGAGTTGATTCCTTAAAGTAGGAAGAGATGGAATTTCAAATATAGGTGGAGTGAGTATCCTTACACAGAAGATGGGGCACCATGCCCTCTGAGATAGCGAAGAATTTGGTAAGGATAATAGTGAGAAGAGGTATTACATACATTTTTCCATGAAGGACATGTTTCAATATGGGCTTATAGAAGGGAAGTTGCCATGATGTAGCCAGTTTGAAAGCAAGGTACAAGGAATATCTGCTTGGTGAAACAGGACTGGGAGCCAACCAAATACACATAAAATAACTGTTCCGTGGCCCTGCAACTACAGGACCTCAGCTAAGACTATCAAGCATAAACCTGTGATAGTACCAACTAACATATCTATGGGATATATTTATTTGCAGCAATGCTTAGAGGTCAGGGTGTAAGAGCAGAGAATGACCGTGGCTAGCAGGGCAGGTAGAGTGGAAGGATAAGAGACAAGGTGGAATGGATGAAGTGCTATACTATCCGGTCTTGGTATACAGGGAAGAAAAAAGAAGTTTGAAAAAGAGGAGTTAAAAGTGCAGAGGTTTCCATGAGATAGAAGAACTATGCTAGCTGGATTAAGGATGTGAAAGCTGGAATTATAAAAAGTCCAAAGAACTGTAAGTGCAGAATGTTTGATAAATTGTACATTGACATTCAAATCTCTTCAGATGACGGGAAGAACCAGGATGGAAAAGAAGGTGGCAAGGCTGTTCCCAACATCCTTAATGGAGGGGGAAGAGTAACTAGGAGGTGTATAGGGTGGTATAGCTAAATGAAATAGATCTGAAAGGAGGAGGGGCTTTTGTAAGGAGCAAGAATAGTGAAACTGCCCTTGGTCATGTGGTTCATATGATGTGGGACAATGAATAATCTCTGTAATGGGGTACAAGAAAAAATGGTATTCCTAGAAAGGTAGTCAGGTTGCAGGTAAAAAAGGAGTTAAAGAGATCTGGAAAAAAGTTTTTCAACCTTTTTGACTTCTCAATTAAGCAGACACCTCAGGTAGTAGGCAGAGCATGATGGCAGCAACCATGTTCTTTGTTTAGGGCTCAAACGGAGTCAAAAGTCACTGGTGGACAGAAAAAGATGCTGGATTTCACTAATGATTAAAGAAATACAAATTAAAACATAATATAAAATGTATCACCTATCACACTGGCAAAGATCAAAAAGATTGATGATAACCATTGCTGCCAAAATGGAAAAACAGGCACTGTTGATAGGAATAGAAACTGGTATTACCTACTTGGAGGGCAATTCGGCCACATCTATTAAAATTTGAAACATTCATACTCTTTGACTCAGAAAATCCACTTCTATAAAGATACATGTTTAAGAATATTTGATGCAGCAATATCTGCATTAGCGAAAAATTAGGAACAACTAAATTCTTCATCAACAAGGGACTATGGTAAATTACTACAATGGAATATAACATAGTTGTTGAAAAGAATGATGTAGTACTGACTGAACTGTCTTAACAAATGCTCATTAAATAGTATAAGTATAAAAGGTCAATTAAAGAACAGTATGGGACGGGTATGGTAGCTTACACCTGTCATCCCAGCACTTTGGGAGGCCGAGGCTGGTGGATCACCTGAGGTCAGGAGTTCAAGACCAGCCTGGCCAACATGGCAAAACCCCGTTCCTGCTAAAAATACAAAAATTAGTCAGGCGTGGTGGCATGCTCCTGTGATCTCAGCTACTCAGGAGGCTGAGGCAGAAGAATCCCTTGAACCCGGTAGACGGAGGTTGCAGTGAACCGAGATCAAACCACTGCACTCCAGCCCAGGCAACGAGAGCAAAACTCTGTCTCAAAAAAAAAACAAAAACAAAAACAAAACAAAACAAAAAAAACCCAGTATGCACAGTATGAGCTCATTTCACAAAGTATTAATATGTATAACTCTATACGTTGAAAAATTCTACAACGGCACTGTCTAATATGGTAGTCACTAGCCACCTATATCTACTTAAATTTGAATTTGTTAAAACTAAATAAAGTCATAAATTCAGTTCCTCAGTCTCACTAGCCACATTTTAAGTGCTCAATTTCCACATGTAGTGGTACTGTATTAGACAGTACAGATAGAGAATATTTCCATCATCACAAAAAATTTGAATGGACAGTGCTGATCGAGGGACATAAACATTAAACTACTATCAGTGATGTGTGTGCACTGTGGGACAAACTATGGGGAATGTTTACATTTTATGTTATATATTTCTGAAATGTTTACTTCTTTGATAATATACATGTACTGCTTTTGTAATGAGAAAACAAGTAAATATAATAAACATTTAAAAAAGAGAGAGAAAAAGAAGTAACATAGTATGTTAGAGAATAGCAAGAGGTCCACTACAGCCAAGTTGGGGTGACATTGTGAAAGACTCTGAATGTCAAGCTTATGAGGTCTTATTGGCAATAGAATTGATAACCAATGGAGGATTTTGAGTTTAAAGTGACATGATCAGACGTGTTCAAGAAAAATAACTTTAGTAGCAATTTGGTTCCCAAACTAAAGAGTAACTACTAGAGCCAAGTAAAGCAGTTAAGAGGTTATTATACTGTGGGCAATGTGTTGTGGCTATCTTAACTAGAGAAGTAGCAGTGGAGACTGGGAAGAAAGGACAGATTTGAGAAACACTTTTGAAGCAGAACACATGGGACTTGGCAATAGCCAGATGGAGGAGAAGAGGTAGAATTCAAGGCTGACTGAGGTTCTCAAGCTTGGGATACTGGATAGGTGGTAATAGAGATAGGGAACACAGAAACACTGTGCAATCCAAGCCTATCTTTTTGGTTCATTCATTTTAATTCAACCAATATTTATAAGGCTGTACTGTCTATCAGATCTCCCTCTTATCCATCCTCACTCTCTTTGGTCTAATAAACTTGATTTCAGAAAGGGACTATAGATATATGGATGTAGAATCTATGAAAAAGGAACAGAACAAAGAATAGTTAGAATAGTGCGCTTGAAACAACTGACAGGGTCACATAGTGAACATCAATAACAATGAAAAGTGCAGGCAACAGGACTAGGAAAGCAAAAAGCATTAGGGCTTGGATATTTAAGGCAGTTAATTACATACAATCTTCAAACCTTTTAAGCCAGAAGCTATATATAACATTGCCTTCAACTGAGAAAATTATAGCAGATGGATGAAAAGTCATTATCTCCTTTACTTTTAACAAATAATGGGGGTGGGATGAAGAGGGAGAGTTCTCATGTAGAAATACATAAAAACAAAATGTCAAAATGAGAAAATATACACTGAATTTTGTTTTTGTTTTTGTTTTTTGTAAGAAAACAAACCACTTAACAAAGGCTACAGAGCCTAGGGTCCTAGAGATCAGAAAATAAATGGGTCAGCATAAATACAGGGTGACAAAGCCTACCTAGACTGCATTTGGAGGCAGATCTATACAAAGACGTTTAAAAAAATAGGTCTTTGTATTCAGAGTTCTGAAAACTCATAGATACGTAAGCTCTGCATTTATTTCACACACACTCTTGTACTTAATACCTTAGTATCAACACAAAAATACATCATAGAATAACTGAGCCAGAGATCAATTATTATCACTTATCGATTAGAGATCACCTAAGAGGTTTTAATGTGAAGTCCAGGGTTCTGTGGACCCTCTGAAATTGAGGTTCATTTTCTGTATGTACCATCATATGTTCATTTTTCCAGTTGGGGAGAGGGTTAATAATATTCCCAAAGAATTCTGTGGCCGCCTGAAAGTTACAACATTAGATTTTAGTTCAACCACCTTGTTTAAAGATGGAGACACTGAGACCCAGAGAAGAAAAGAGACTTGCCCAAGGGCACACAGTGAATTAGTGGCAGAGCTGAATCTAGAAACTAGATTTTCTTTTCAATATTCTTTCCATGGCACACTACTACTTCAACATATCTCATAATTAAAGTCAGTGCAATTTTAAAATTCCTGATTATTACCTTTGTAATGAAAATTCCAGCATCCATAATAGCTTTAATGTGTCTTAACCACCCTGAGCTCTCCAGGCCGCTAAGAAATTCACTCATTGTTGGAGTTTTCAATTCACAAACTAAGGTAGAAAAGGAAGCAGAGATTGAAATTCACGATCAACTCGATTTATTCATTAAGAAAGGGGAGAAAGTGGATCTCCATATTGTAAGTGAGGAAGCTGAGGCAGAAAGGTTAAATGATTACTTAGAAACCACACAGTGAGTCAGGGACAGAACTAGGTCTAAAGCCTACCAGATCTCTTAGCCTGGGCCCCTGCTTTATTACGCTGTAGAACCCACTCTCAAGCCCTTAGAAATCTCTCAAGAAGAGAGCCAGAAGACTGAATTAGCATCTACAGGAAAACATACCTCCCCTGATTAGAAAACATATTTGATCCCTATCCTAATCCCACCCACTTATGCTAACTCTGAAGGCCCTCAGCATCTGTCTCTACTCCCACATCCCCATCTACTCCCTGTAGCCCTGTTCTGTCAACACGTTGAAAAAAAAATTACCAGTTAATTTTTATGCACTCTGCAATAATTAGCCAGCAGAGGGAAATCTTTTGCCTTAAAAATCTGTAAAACAAAGTCCTTTTCCATAACATATTCTGGGGCAAAAAAGAAAGGAGTAAGAGACCTAAGGAAGAGGGACATTAATATTTTAAAAGGGATGCAGACTGAGCAGATGAGATCTGGCAAGGGTGATGTAAAGGGGAGGTCATGGCAGACAACACAAGTAAGAAATTGAAGAAAGGAGAGGAAGAACGGGGAGTTCACTAAAGAAGGCAGGTTTTCACTGTCTCTGCCTGAAGTGACACAGAACATCATGGAATCTGGGTAGTGGTTTTAGGAGAAATGTTCTACACCCAAGAGTCTTGTAAGGCCCCAATCCCACCTTGCCTCCTTTCTGACCCTAATCATTTTGTAGTCGATAACAGATCACCAAAACTGTCTGATATCAACTTTATTCTTTTGAGGTCTAAATTCAGCTTCATCAGCATAGTGATGAAATCAGACTAAATCCTTATACCAAATTAAATAAGGTAATTTCTTACCTTGAGGATGATAAAATCAACCCCAAATTTATTTAATACTTATGTTGGTTTGCCTATCCCTGAAAATCAACCTCTGTATTTCTACGGAGAGAAATAATTTTCATACCAACTAGACCAGACCCAGATGAACTTTATCGAATTATGAAACTGAACATCTTACTCCTTTTTCCAGACCAACGCTGCTGTAATTCAGTACTATGTAAGCTAGATTCGTACGACAGTTAAACACCTAACCACTTACTGACTCTGCTCACCTGCTTGCTTTTATATTCCACCTCAAATCAGGCATGCTTTCTGCTTACATAATAATGCAAAGCTATGGCCGCTTGCCTAGCCAAGGTGAAATCCCTGTACCTTCCAAGAGTTTCTGCAGACTGTTCCGCATTACATGGATGTTCTCAATGCCCATGAATCTGAAGCGAATGTTGGCATAGTTGTCTTCATTTTCATATCCCTTCCCAGCTGCTCGGTTGGCCATGGCATTCAACTGCAATAGTGGATAACATAATAGAGCAGATAGGTCAGATGATGAAAGAATGGAGTTCATCAATCTCAATGCCTCATTCTGAACAGTTTAAAATCATAATTCTTTTTAATCCCAATTAAAAAGAAGTTAAATCAGATGAGATACATTCTGGAATGGAGAGAATTTCACTAGTTTTTACATCAGGTACTTTTAGTAACAGACTCATAAAGGAGAAAAATAGGGAGATATAGTGTTTTGTTTCATTATGAAAACCTTTCTTAAGAGATAAAGGATATAGCAGCTATGAGGATATCTGATCTAAAAAACTGAAATAATAATTTTGAGCTGCCTACCACAAATGTTTTCTCAGCTGAAAGGGTTTTATACTGAGAAACATGCAAAAGTTCAAAAATATTTACAACTGAGAAGCTCTAGAAAGAAGCTTAAGAGCTTTAGGATGAATTAATTGTATTTATTTTTTAAGAGACAGAGTCTCACCTGTCATTAAGGCTGGAGTGCAGCAGCACAATCACAGAGTTCCCTCCAGCCTCGAACTCCTGGGCTCAAGCAATCCTTTTGCCTCAGCCTCCTGAACAGCTAAGACTACAGGCGTGCACTACCATGCTGGGCTAATTTTTTTTACAATTTTTTTTTTGCAAAGATGCAGTCTTGCTGTTCCCCATGCTAGCCTTGAACTTCTGGACTCATGTAAATCTCTTGCCTTGGCCTCCCAAAGTGCTGGGATTATAGGCATAAACCACCACAAAAGCCCAATTAGTTTTATTTTATTTTATTTATTTATTTATTTTTTTAATTTATTATTATTATACTTTAAGTTGTAGGGTACATGTGCATAACGTGCAGGTTTGTTACATATGTATACTTGTGCCCATTTGGTGTGCGTGCACCCAGGTCAACACGTCATTCATTCAGGTATAAATCCCAATTGCAATCCCCGTTGTCCTCATCCTCCAACATGATAGGCCCGGTGATGCTGATGGTTCCCCTTCCTGAGTCCAAGGATCCTGCAATTGGTCAGATTCCCACCTATGAGTGAGGAAACATGGGCGGTTGTTTGGTGTTTCTGTTCCTTGGGGAAAATGGTTTGCGTAAGCAATGAATGGTCTTTCCAGCTGCAGTCCAATGTCCCCTTACAAGGACACAACTTCATCCTTCGTTATTTATATGTGCTGCATTATATTCCATGGATGTATAATGTGCAACAGTTTTCTTAATCCCAATCTGTCCGGCGATGGACATTTTGGGTTGATCCCAAAGTCCTTTGCTATTGTGAATAGTGCTGGCCATAAACACTACTGTTGCCAATGTGTCATCTTCTTAAA